GCACTGCCCCTTTCCACGATCTGGGTTCAACCAGTACAGTGCAGTAAGATGGGTTTTTTAATTAACTTCGGCTGAAAAAGTACAGCCTGCTACAACCTGCTGCCTGGTGGGCTGCAGAAACTCCTCTGTGCTTCCAGCAGCCACAGCTGTGAGCTCCTACAAAACTTTGAGAAGACTCATTCAGAACTCATCTGCAGTTCCGAAGCAGCCCCTGAAACATAATGAGCCTCAGTTTTCCCAAAGCCTGGTAACTCAGACATCAGAAAACACGGCAGAAAGAAAACTTTGAAGAAGTAATAGAACCAACTTGGCAAGTTTCCCTTACCTTTGGAGAGGTTATCATGCTTCATCTTTGTCAGGAGCGTTATTTCAAGCTACCAAGTACCAAGTAGATCTGGTCCTTCAGCACACCCATGCAGAGCGCCAATTAAATCCTCACAGCAGCATACTGCCTTGTTGGAACACGCTGCCTGCGTGCAAGGCACCAGCCCTATGAGGAGCAGCAGCTTTACAGCTCCTGCTCTGTTCACTGTGCTATTTTCCCAGAAAACACCCAGACCTGCACATCTGGTAACCTCTGTTTAGGAAAGATTCTACATTTCATGTCTTGTCCAAACTACAGACATTATCATTAGTTCTTATTCTGGAATAGCTTACAACGCACTAAGCAAGCCCAAGAGATGCTTCTACTTACGTAAAGGTTTAGAAGGCAAGGCAGACTTCAGAGGTTCTGTAGTTAAGAGCTAGTTTTTCCTAACAAAGAATTTGTTGTAGGCTTCAGCTATGCTCACTGGCTCTGCAATGCTGTCTCTGTAGTTCACCAAGGCTTGTTCTGGCAAATCACTTCTCTAAGTTACAATTGCAAATACAAGCCATACTTATTTAACATACTGGCACACACCACTATCTCCTATTGTCAGGTTCGATTAAATTAACTTGGAATCAGATAAGCATTCCCACAAACACACACTTACTGTAGCAGATGCTACCATGCACTTATCTTGACATCCCATTGTTCCTGTTCTTCAGAACTGTAAGATAGGTCTGCTATACAATGGAGTTTCATGGTACTTACTATACAAGGAGCACTATTTCTAACTGCTCAGCCTTCTCTGCTAACAGAAGGACAATATCAACACCATGGGTCACTGTTTGCAATAGAGCATACTACAAAAAAGATGAGGAGGTGGTATTTTTTTTATATACATCCATGATCATTGTCACCACTCAGAAGGCATGCTTGGCATTTCAAATACAAAGGAATACAGGGTGTCTGATGCAAAGAGCTTTTCATGGTGGTGCATTTAAAATCTGAATGAAAAATGCCACGAGGGTTAAGCAAGAGGCCAGAGTGGGCTCCTGCACCACTGGGCTCCTGCTGGCTCTGGAAAAGCTGCTGCAAGAGCAAAAGAGAAAATGAACTACAGTGATTGCAGGGATGGCACTAGGAAAGATGAATAGACTTGTGTTGGTCAGCTCACAAACACTGCCCTACAATGGGCAAACACTCTTGGAATGACGAAGGAAGGACAAAAACACAACAAAGAGTGTCTGGGTCCAGTATTTGAAAAGATGTTTAAGGAAAACAAGCCACAATGACAACACACAGCAGTCAAGAGCTGTATTTTTAGCACCAAAGGATTAGTTAACATCCACCATGAGGAAACCCACCTATGCTGCAAGGCAGAACGAATCCTAAGTGAGGTCCTCTGTGACAGATAAACGTTTAAAGTACCCAGCATATTACAAGCATTATTGTATGCCACCAGTGACTCAGCAGGCAGATCACTTATTTTAGAATAAGCTGCTCATAGAGAAAGGAGATGGGGAATGGGTGAGAAGGGAGCATTAAAGCTACCATCAGCAAAAAGCAGCAACAGTAGATGCTCCCCACATGTAAGTGTCAGCTGCCAGGACTACAGGTGAAAAAACAGTTCTGTGATAGCAAAAAGGAAGTCCAGAAGCAGAGGAGAAACAAAGAACCCCTTGTGACATCCTTCTGCAGCATCACTCCTCAACCACTAGGATATGGATGAGGAAGCTGCTTAGTGATAAATTAGCCTTTATGCCTGTGAAACTAACATCAGTAGTGAAGAAGGACAACTGAAAGCCCTAACAAACCCTCCTCCTGCTATCAGAAGTGATGTTATTTCAGATGAAATAGACCTGCTCCTAGTCCATCTCATAATTACATTTTACAAAGCAACACAAAATTTAAATTCCAACGGGTTATTTCCCACCTTGCCAAGCTACATTACTTAGCAGAGAAATGATGCAATAAGAAGTCATTACTCAATAAAATAAAATCCTATTTATTCACATACCCTTGAACGTAATGACCACGTTACGTAATGTAGAGATTCCTATGCAATGTGACATAGGTTTATATGAATTACTCTTTCTGTGCTGTTTTAGATGACATCATAAGCATCATGGAAATACAAAATGCAAGCTCATCAACAGTTTCAGCTTCTTTTTATGCTAGTCATCCCAAACTACCATCTTCAGATGTGCAAGTACTCTTCCCCTAATACTGGGAGACACAGGAGACAGAGCAAGTCACACTGTGTAATTACAGAATACAAACAGGAAATTTACCAAGTGGTTTTTCTGATTGGTTAGGGCTTTTAATGTGATTTTAAGTTCTACAAAAATCAACCAAAGCCAACTACATAAAACAGCCGCTACTTTTGGAGGTATTGGCCTGTGAAGTAACATTGGAAAAGCTCTCTCAAAGGAAACTGCCTCACAGATTAACATTTCCGAAAGACAAAAAGGGCATTTTTTACACTATCTCGTTTTTTAAAGGTCACTAAATCCAGACCATCTGGATATTAGAACTACCACATGTAGTTCCCTATTCATTTAATTAAAAACGCTGTTTAGGCTCATACGGACAATTTGTCTACAGCTAAAAACAACTGAAGTGTAAGAAGCAGCTCCAGGGAAGTGATGTCACCAGCACAGCATACTTCAGGCACAGCTGGCTGGCAGCCTATCGGCACCAGGGAGATCCCCATTTACTGTTAGGCACAACTTCTGAGCCAAGCAGCAAAGCAGCCTCTTGCCTTGTGCACAGCAAGAGATGACAGTGATGTGGTTTCACTCCTGTTGCCTGTTAGCTATGTAAATGCAGGTGACAGGCAGTCAGAGGCTGTTTTATTCCATCAGGTAGCTCACATTTCCCCAACCACTACTTCAGTGCACAGTTCTGTTTCCAAAAGGCATTTGTTGCAAGGCATTGTTTTCAATTTACAAACCAGGTAAGCATATATTTGCTAGTTTTTCCCTCTGAGGTCAAGCACATCGCCTTTGGGGCACAAGGAGAGTGCCAAGGAGGTGCCCTCTCTCCTGCCAAGTGGAAGAAGTGGGGACAGATGCTTCCTCTAGGACCCCAAAAGATAAAGATTCAAGTCTGAATCCTTTGCATCCTTCCCTTCTCTCTCATGTGAAGAGGTAGCAGTAAAATGGACAATGTAAACGACTGCTAAAACTTCAAGCTACTGCACACCTAGCATCAGGAAGTACACATGTTCCTATAAGCTTTCAAAGAGATTTAGAGTAGGAAAAAAAAAAAAAAAAAAAGAACTACATTTCGTGTTATGATAAATTGGGATGAAATTATCAAAAAATACAATTATTTAACCAAAAATATTGTGAACAGAACTAACTCATATCACCTACATACCTGCTAGATTCTCACACTGTAACTGGGATCATAACCAAGAAAGAAATTTAGCAACTTCAGGATGCACAAACATTAAAACAAAATAGCTTCTCCCAGTCAGTTTCAGACTCTTTGATAAGTGCACATATGCACAAAGTACATACACTTCCTTCAAAAATTAAATACATAATTGATAATCAGTTTAACTCCTACACTGTGGGTTGTGCTGGAGTATATTCTGGTATTCCTGCAAGTACTGCTAACAGCACTGTCAACACAACACCACAATGCGGATTCAGTAAATGAGAACAACTTGCAACTCCTCCATAAAACAGTCACACTGAGACTGCCTTGAAATACTGAACCTGCAACTCTGTTTTAAGCTTAAATCTTCGAATATGTATCGCTAATACAGAACAGTGATGGGCAAAACACAAGAACGTACAGCAACCCAGTTAACTTATCTGGTAAAAGTATGCTTATTGGCTGAAAAAATTACTAAATATAAAACTGCAGTAAAAAGATACTGGAAAAGAGATATTTGCATTTGCATATTTGCAATAATGCAAAGCAAATAGATAACTTTGGAAAATAAATGAAAATTTTACTCTTACAAGATCTATCATATTTTTCCATTACTTTTTATGCTCTTTTACTAACATGTTTCCACATTGCTTTACTCAAAATGAACTTACTCTGAGCAAGAAGTTATCTCTTTTCTTCTAATTGTTCAAGATTTCCCTTTGAGTAATTAGCAAGCTACATCCCCTTTGACAGAGAGATACTAACAAGCTCCTACAGCTTCCAGTAGGACAAGGAACCCAGAGCTACTAACAGCAAACAAGTCATTTAAGCAAAAAAGGATTACCAAGGCTTGTTGCAAGGGGCTGGAAACTCACCGTATTTCAGATTAAGGCTTTCTGGGAAGCCTCTTTTTGCAATGAGTTTTGATTCAATTTTTAAAAGCATACGTATATATTTTTCATTATTTGTAAAATGAAATATTGACTTGAGTATTTATTAATAATTTCTTCCTTTTGAAAACCACTGAGCGTCAGAAAGAGCAGACAATGGCTTCCAATGGGAAAACGACAGAAACAGGAGTTTTGTAACAAAACCTCTTTCCAAAGATTCTTGAAGTTTAAAGAAAAAAAAAGGCCACAAGCTAACAAGATTTTCAATCTTGAATACTGGGACACCAAACCAATGTGCAAATCAAGCCGAAGCGAAACTTATTTGCAAGATTTTGGTGCTGGAAATATTTCTCCCACATCCCTATTGCATAAAGCCCATTTCGGAGAGAGTGAGTGTGGAGTGCAGGGACCCGACGTACCTTGAGGACCTCCATGGGTACCTGCGTGGCAGGGGGCAGGCTGGCGGGCACGCTGACGTTGATGGCAGGTGTCTGGCTGACGGGAACTCTCTGTTGCATGAACTGGGCTGCTTGCTGCTTCTGCTGCTGCTCCCGACGCTCCTGCTCCTGCATCTGCTCACGCATGAGCTGCTGCCGTAGCAGGATCCGTGAGGTCATGCTGGAGGAGCTTAAGGGAGGCTTGGAAGCGCCAGGATGCTCGGAATTGCTGTGGGAAGAGCAGAGAGAGATGGCTCAGCTTCTACCAGTGGCTCCATTGATCCCAGCCTCAGGGTTTGCAGAACCGCAGAGCAGAATCCAAACGGAAATGCCGCACTAAGACGGGTGCATGGCTGACCTACTGAGGGTACTTAGCAGCTGCATTGTGCTGCCTTAACATGACTGCAACCAACCACTTCTAAACACCAATATCCAGCTGGAAAACATGCCTCACTATTTCAAGTTTTACAGCGACCAACCATGAGAAAAACAAGTGATTTTATAGACAGCAGCAGGTACTCATATTCATAATTTTTAAGTAATTATGTAAAGAATTAATTGCATTCATTGAGAGGTACAGACAGTACTCCAGGTCTAATCATCTAGCTCAGAATAAATAAATCTACCTCTTCCGTGAAAGCAGCAACCCTTCCCAAAGCCCGCTGAGCCATTCAGGTTAACACCACCAACTCTGGGCAAGCACAGCACTTTGCTGTAAATGCAGAGACATCTTCTTAAACAATCAATCATTTTGTTCACTCCCAGAAGACTCCATTTATAAGACATTTCTACAAAGTGGAACTCTTAAGGCAAGTAAACACCAATCTATGCATCCTTTAAGGGAGGGGAGTCAGAAGCACCTAGGAAACCATGACTCCATGGACCAAACAGATACACAGCAAGCCTGAAAACCAGCAGGGAAGCTCCACCTCTGGCTCCTGAGTTTCAGTGCTACCTGCACAATGCTGCTGAGGCAGCTTCACAGTGCAGCTCAGGGCCCAGCATCCCTCCAGCTCTTATCTCAGGACTGTGGCCACTGAGAGCCTGGCCAACAGGAGCACTGCTGAAAGCTTGTGCAGTTTGTTTAGGATCAGTGTTGTGCTCACAGTGAAAATGCAAAAGGAGGACCCATGCTTACTCTCACCAGAGATGAAACTTTGCTCTTCCAGAGCACACGTTCTGGGGGCAGGGAGGGAGCAGAGGGAGGAGACAGCCTCACTATTTAAGACCTGTCAGGTTGAAACATTCACAGAGACACTGATCCTTTTGATAAAACAAGAGAAAACCTTTGTGGTGAAACTAATGCAGCTGTGGAATAATCGCACTAATTAGCTGCTCAAGACAAGTCAACGACTGTGATACTTGCACAAACACCACCCTCCCAATTAATACACAGCATTCTCCCATCAGAACCTTTGCAGCCAGTTTCCTGGCTACTCCGCATCTGAGCAAACATCAGAGCCACTCAGAGTCCCCGTCCAGCTTGGAAACATGCATTTCCCTAACCAGGAGAATTACAGAGCTCCAAAAAGGTCTCCAAATCATTCTCATTGTATACATCCAACCAGTAAAACAAAATGATATTGTGCCTGCACCCCCCAGTATAGGTATATTTATGGACTATATACATGTATAACTGAAGTGCCAACATTTCCTCCCTGCACTCCCAATGGTTCTGCTCGCACACCTCACTTTAATGGTCCATTGTTACAGATAAGCACAAAACAAGTGCTGAAATGCTGCTTTTAAGGAAGGACTCATTCCTCACATTAAATAAAAACTTTGTGTCAGTTTAAGCACACTTCTCATTAGGGTACTATTGGCATTTTTTATAGACGCCTAATGCTGCAAAGTTGATAACCCAACAGTTCCTCCCAGCTTCTCCTGTTCTGAACTGCTTCTCTGCCTAACAAAGCCCAGAGTAATAAAACCACCTCAGCAGCTACTTCTTGTATCTAAAATTTTAGGGAACACAAGGGATTTCTACTGCATTTCCAATAGTCCCTGTGAGGACCTCCCTCAGATGATCACTGTACTCACGTCACATGGCTCTACAGCCATCCCTACAACTTCCTGCAGGTAGTGCACCCCTGAATCGTTGATTAAAAAGAAAAGTCTAACTACTGTCTTTAAAAAGAAAAGGAAAAAAAAAATCCCAGAAGATATTGTTTTGCCAAATTCTTCCCCAAAAGACAAACACTTTTCCAGGCTCTACTGCAATTCTGCTCAACATTCTAATTATTCACTGGAAAAAAAGAATAGCGTAGGTGTAATTAACCAGGTAACGCAAGAACGAGCAATGTACTCTTTAACAACCATCACAATAAGAGCAGACACTGGCCAGAGGAAGAAGAGTCTGATCTTCCATCCAAACCACCAGATTTTGGGGCCAGCTGAGGGAGAAAACAAGCTTGTGAGATTACGGAATGTCCTGTTCATCCTTATTGCAAAGCAGAAGCCAGAAAGCAATGCAGCTTAACAGCATTAGTGAGCTCAGCAGGCACATCACTGTGTTGTGTGTGCACGGCAATGTTACATGGCACAGAGACCAACCGAGTTGTTCCAGACATGAAGTGCCCTGTGCTGCTATCAGGCACTGCCTGCCAGACAGAATGCCCAGTTCATGAGGAAAGTGGACAAATAAAGCAGCTCCTGCTGTTCAGATTTGCCATTATTTATCACCTGAGGAAGTTTCTAGTCTATGCAGGGCCCCCTCTAGACACTAAGCTGACACAGCTTTCCTTCTACTTGCTGCAATTCAGCAAGAGCAGCACGGAGAAATGTGGAAACAGAAGCATTTGAAATTTCCCCCAGTACTTCATTCTCTAAGCCCACCCCATGCAAAACTCAGCCTTCATCCCCCACTCCATCCACTCCTCTCAGCAGCATGATGCATCGACTGAATGGAAGGCAGTCAGGGTTTCTTCACCACGTATTCTTTGGAAAGCAAAGAGGAAAAGCTTTGTCAGAAAAATCAGTTTTCTAACAACAACAACAAAAAAAAGCCATAAACCAAAATTCAATACTGGTGTCAAAGGCTTAGTCAAAAGCATACCGAAAAAAATCATACTTTGAAAGCTACTTGACCTTTAAGCTTTGCCACACGAGCAGATCTTCCCTCAGTACTGAGCACGGAGAGATACAGCGCAGCACGATGCAGAACCCAGACACGTGGCTTTGGAGCTCACATACATGGACTGACTCAGCTGGGCATTACACAGCCAGTAACAGAACCCACACGGGCAACTGATACTCAGTGTGATTGAGATACTTCCTGCAAACACAGTCTACAGATATCCTTTAATTGCAATAAATGAAACCGACTCATCCTTTTAATTGACGTATGATTAAACCAGTTATCTATTAGCAGTCTAATAAGCATAGTGTAATACAGGCAGAGTTAATAGTTATGAATGTCATATGCCAATTCAATTAATCATTAAGTGATAACATTTTAACAAATAAATCTTAATTACATATCCTTTGCATAGATGCCTGGGAAATGTTAGTTACTGTATGCATACATTATAATGCAAATAGTTGTTGCATAATAAAAAGCAACCAGTCAGATTAAAATCAAGTTTAATTTCACTGCTATCAACTCAAGTGATTAAAGAGACCATGTATTTTAAAGCATCATTCATCTTTCCAGATGGGTACTAAATACTTCATTTCTGTTCCCATGGACAAAACACCAAACTGGTCTCTTGTTAGGCAGTTTTGTTTTCAGATCCTTATAAATTCAATAACAGGATCTCTAGTTTACATGCATTATTCTACTGGTTTACACACAATATTTTGCACTATCCACGTACTTGTTAAGAAGTCCGGAACTGGAGTTTTGTCTAAGGCCCTTAAGTTGGAATAAAACATTACAACAGTTAAAAACATATGCCAACTACTCAAACAAATATTTTCCAAATTATTTTTTATTAAAAAAAATAAATAAATCCCACACACCTGTTTTCCCATCATTCTCTTGTATTCTAGCAACAGCCTGGGATATTTCGCTCCAGACAGGACCTGACAAATAAATACCTGAAATGTTTCAGCTAAGCGTGTGCACAGCTGACCCACGTGTTAGAGAAGGTGATATTCAGTAAAGGACGTTCTGAAGGCACCACAAAATACATCCAGATCTGACATTTTTGTAATGATTTTTCATCTTTGAGATCAGCCGAGAAAAGCAGAAGATGTAGCACCTCCAGAAACCCATGGAGCTGCACCATCTCCCAGAGATCAGAGCAGAAACAGTATGTGATTTAAATACCTGTATTTCATACCTTTATCCTTACTCCATTCATCATTATTTACAAAGAAAAGCAAGGCATCCACACTGAAGTATCTGACATCAGTTCAAGGCTAGGCTGATCCTTCCAGCAAGCAGATGAAAGCTCAACAACACAATTCAAACATCTGGCCTGATCTACAGAAGGCACTGTCAGAAGCAACTAACACAGCTCCCCTTCCAACACTCCTGTTCAACGAGTGCTATCATTTCTCTCAAAACTAGGTTTATCTATACAGATACCATTTGCAGTCCCTCTAGCAGTAAACACCTCAGGACACAATTGCCAGTAGTGTATATGTTAGCAGCACCTAACCTAACCTGTCAGTCAGCATCACTGTTTGCCACACAGGTAACAGAAAACAGAAAGATACCATACGAGAACAAAATCAAAATCAACGTAAGGGGGAGCAGATTGATACAAAAGAAAAGTCTCTTCTCTTCCATCTTCAGCCATCACAATGGACTTTACTTACAGGAAAAGTACCACAGCATTTTCCCTGCACCGCTTCGTGCTCCACTCCTAAAATTTAATAATTGATTGTTACAGTGACAATTCATTCAGAAAGCCAATTGGTTGGCACTGAATTAACGTATCAATGTGAAAAAAAAAAAAGTTGGCACCCTTTAATGTCCTTTGTTGTCTGTCAAGGGCAGAGCAGAAAGCCTGACAATTACATAAGCAGCACAGAGGCCTTTATCAGCCTTTACAGTAAAGCAACAACTGTGTTTCAACCCTCTTTATTAAGGGCTTCTGCATTTGAAGGTTAGTTGTGTGAAGAGACACGCTGCTTGGTTTTGCTCCATCATCATCAACACCAACATTTTTCTCTCCCTCCAGCTTTCCAACCCTGGCCTGGCCCACCATCACATGCCCACCCCCAAGCAGTCAGTCTGAAGTGAAGCCCTCAGCTGCCCTCCATGCAGGTCCATGACCAGGA